TTTTTTAAATAAATGTTTTTATTATACATTTTCCTTTATTCTACATCGTATTTCCAGTTTTGCAACAACAGTGTACTGGCTGTATCAGATCCTTTTTCAATATACATAGTATTATACACCCTAATCATGACCATTATTCTCATAGTCATACAGCATAGTCTTTTTTTTAAATACATGATATTGTACGTCATAGTTATATCCATTATTTTCATAATTATACCATAACGGTCTATACATTTATCACTCTGTACATTTTAATCTATAGTCATGTATAGTCCAATAGTAATATTGCTTACAGTATATATTCTTATATATCTCTATGCATCTGTATTTATTTCCAACTTGCTAATCTTCTTTCGTTATTCAATTTCTAATCTCTGCATCTGCTGCGTAGCCATTTGTACAATCAGTCCCATGTTGTGCAATACGGTTTCCCCTTTATCTCTGAGTTCCCTCGTTAACCTATCTAATTTGACACATTCTAATATTTTCTTTATTACCTTTTCGTCTGTAGGTATACTTCCATTTTTCCAATTTTGTGCATAGGTAATTCTAACTGCTGTTATCACATGTACCATTAAGTATACAGTTCTTTTGTTGTATTTCCCTGGTAGTTTGCCTAATAAAAATAGTTCTGGTTTTAGGTCTATTTGTTGTGCTGTCATCTCTTCATGTTCTCAACCACCGATTAGTTAATCCAGTCTTTCTCAACCTTGACGTCGGTAGATCTTCAGTTGCCAAGATTGAGAAACGCCGAGTTCATCTCTCTGCCGTTATTTGCCAGCCCCTTCTAAGCAGCAGCTCATCAAAATCTCACCAGACTCTCGCATCCCGGTTACAAAGACCCGGCCCATCTGGTCAAGCAGGGAGGGCATCTGCGTATCCCGTCAGTCAAGGAGTTTTGGCTGGCGGGGTCAAGGGGGAAGGTCTTCCTCTGCTGTGGCCCTTCGGAACATCTAACCCCCAGAAGTGAGGCAAGCCCCTCTAGTTTGGGGGTTCAGACCTGGCTTGGCCGATTGGCATGGGGTCTAAAGGTGCGATGCAGCCCCGAGGATAGCTGGCGGCTTGGACTTCCTTGTGAATTTTTTAGCTTTTGGAATTTTTAACTTTGATATTTATTGTTACTTGCATGTTTTGTTCCTAATTCTGCTTTTAATCTGGGCTTTTGCGTGTTCATATGGTTTTGTTATGACATTGTAAATTCCCCAGAGTCACCTGGGTAAGATGAGCAGCGTAGCAATTAAACAAACAAACAAAACAGCCCTTGCCCAGGTGCCATTCAACAGCCGAGTTCACTCACCATCTTGCCTGGATTCTCCAAAGAATCAACCTTCAAACAGCATATTCAGCCCTGAACTGAACCCTTGAGCTGGGTTCATTCAGCACCCGAAACCAAAACGAGGCAGCTCCCTTTCTGTCTTGGTGTGATGTGAACCGAGCCCTCCGAGAGGACCAGGGAATCGTAGAGCCATTGTGGAGTTTTTCTCCTGGGAAAAGTCTTACCTCTTTGGAGGCCTACAAAAGGGTTCTGAATATGTGCCTTTGCGTTACAACAGAAAACAAATTTGGGGCAACCTTGGAGTGAACTCAGCCGCCCGGCCCAATTTTGGGATTTTTCAGTTGGCTGTTTGGTTCCACCTTGGACTTCTGTGCTCTGTTCTTGAGGGAGGGAGGGAGAGAGAGAAGGGAAGGAAGAAAGAAGGAGAGGAAGAAAGAGAGGGGGGGGGAGGACTCAGAGAAAAAAAGAGGAGTCAGAAGAGACACTGGAGAGAGAGAGGAGGTGACAGAGTGGAGAGAGGAGACAGAGAAAAGAGAGAGAGAGAGGAGAGAAAGAGAGGAGAGAGAGAGAAGGAGAGAGGGAGGGAGGAAGAGAGAAAGAAGGAGAGGGGAGATCTTCACCTGACCAGTCTGGCTGGCTGCAGTGTTGACAAGATGTTGTAGGTTTGATTTCCCTGCCTGTTACCAGAGGTGGGTAAATAGGACAATGGGGACACAGCTCTGCCAAAGCCCAGAACAAGGTGGCCTTGTGGGGAATGACAAGCGAGTCAGATTTAAGGCCCCATTGTCACATTCCAGGGTCAACCTCTACCCACCTAATCGGGCTGGCAGGGAACATGTTTGCATACCAGGGCATAATCTTTGTCTTCCAGAATCGGCCAGCCATGTCCGACGCAGAATTTGGACGGATGTCTTTCAAAGAGCCTGAGGTGGAGACTAAACGTGGCCCAGCCCAGCCCCACTGGTACGAGCGCTACCTGCAGCCTTGCATCGGGGAGCTGGTGGGCTCGGCCTTCTTCATCTACATTGGCTGCGTTTCGGTCATCGAGAACTCAGATGGCACCGGGAGGCTGCAGCCGGCCTTGGCTCATGGGTTGGCGCTGGGACTGACCATTGCCATCTTGGGGAACATCAGGTGAAGGAAGGGGCAGCCGTGTGGTTTGGCCAGGGGATGTGGTCAAGAAGGCAAGTTAGCCATGAAGGAGCGATGGAGGAAGCTAGAGTACACAACGGGAGGAGGAAGAGAGGTCAGCTGAATTCAGGAAGACCCATTAAGTTGAAGATGGATGGAGTTCAACTCCCAGCTTTGCTGGCTGTGGAATTCTGGAAGTTGAAGTCCATCCATCTTCAACTTGATACGGTTGAGAAACACTGATTGACAGGGCTGCAACATCAGTTCTCTTCCTCTACATTCCTTTAAAGGGGTGGGCTTCAAAAATTTTAGGGTTCTCTGCCCGGTTGCTGGGTGGGTGTGGCCATGGTGGGCGTGGCCTAGTTAGCCTCCTGCACCATGGCGGGGGGGCATTTTTGCCCTCCCCGGGCTCCGGAGGCTTTCCTTGAGCCTCTGATAGGGTGAAAACGCCCTCCTTGGGCTCCGGAGGCCCTCTGGAGGTTGGAAATGGGCCCCTTTTCTGGCCTTCCAGAGCCTCCACGTGGGCCCTATACTTACCTGGGATCCCAAACGGGCTGCATGGGGACTCCTGGGAGGGGCAGGGTGGGGTGGACGGGGCCAGCCAGGAGTGGGATTTGCCAGTTCACTGAACTGGCCGTAAAATGAGCTACCAGTTCAATACTGGTTCGCCCAGACTGGGGAGAACCTGTAGCAGCCCATCCCTGAATATTTTCTTTCTTTCAGGCATGTGTTATTGATTGATTGATTGACTGTATGGCATAATCATACATGGACTAGAATTAATATTTCACCTAGATTAGTAAAACACAATAAAACGTAGATGTTAAAAAGATCTATATTCAAATACCAAGGCCTAGGCCATCTCACCATTGAAGCAAAACAATAATAATCAGATACTGGACCGATATATGCCCTCAGTTTAGAGCCGGTCAGGTTGCGATCTGCAGTTTTTTGTGGGTCCCTGCAGTCACATGAGGGGAGGCTGCTATGCCCATTTATGCAGAGAGGCAAGGCAGAGGCCGAACGTCTGCTTAAACAACAAGTTACTCCCCTGTGATCCCCATTCAAAGTACCTTGGAGTAACACTGCAGTGGACTCTCTCCTATAACATACACCTAGCACAGGGGTGTCAAAGGCCCAGGGGCCGGATTTGGCCCACGAGGTGCTTAGATCTGGCCCGCAGGCCCCCCTGGAAACAGCAAAGGACCAGCCCATGGTGCCTCTGCCAGGGAAAACGGAGCTCGCACAGCCCTCCTAACCTCTGTTTTCACTGCCAGAAAGTTGCAGGAGGCCGTCCCAGCCGAAAACGGAGTTCAGGAGCTCATTTTTGCTAGCAGAGCTCTCAGGCCACCATGTGTGCCCCCCGCAGCATCCTGGCCACGCCCACCCCAGCACCCCAAGGTCAAACACAACCCTGATGTGGGCCTCAATGAAAGCGAGTTTGACACCCCTGACCTAGAGAATATGATGACAAAAATCAATCCCGGGAACAACATATTCCGGATATTTACGTGGAAGTAAATGGGGAACTTCAGCTGCCCCCCTCAGGTCATCAGCACCAGGCTGACTCTTAAATGTCTCAAAGCGACCTGTTAAACCTGTGGACGTCTCTGACCCTTGATTTCACTTTCGCGAGGTTTGCTCCCTGCCAGCAGGCAATGGGGGCATCCTCTGACCAAAGATGTCTCTTTCCCACTCTCTGCCTGCAGTGGAGGCCACTACAACCCGGCCGTTTCCCTGGGGGCCTGGCTCGTTGGTGGGCTGAACATGGTGATGGTCATTCCATACTGGATCTCCCAGCTGTGCGGGGGAATGATTGGAGCTGGCCTGGCTAAGGTATGGCGGAGGATGGGGAAGGGGCGGGGAAGGGGAGGGCACTTGGGGTACAAGGTGCCAGCCTTACAAGATACACCAGACAGGAAGTACAACCAGATGAGCTAACTCTGTTGTAAGATTACATTAACGGAATATGGCGAGTCTGAATGTACTGCATATCTTTTCCCTGGACCCTTTGACAGCCTAAGAAGGTAGGGAGGGGTCCTTCTGAAATGTTTCTCACACCTGCTCACTTTCCTGCTCTGGGCTCAGCTGGTTTTTATCTGTCCCCTTGGTGGTTGTTGCCCTCTCTCCCAAGGCCATTCTCACATACACCATTGCAGAGGGAGAGCAGAGGCTATGGCAGATGTTGGGTGGTGCTCCCTGCGCTCCCAGGCTCAGCTTATGGTCACTCACTCACTCACAGCCTGTTGAGGGATGCAGATCTTGCCACCTCCCCCCCTGCCCCCCCCCCCACCTTTCTACCTGGGAATTCCAGAAAGGTGTGGCTGGAACAGACAAGGCACAAAACTCTGGTCAACAGCCAGGAAATAATGAAGGACGCACACAAATCACTTGAACACTGAGGCACATTCGGTTCTCTGAAATACACAAAGACCCAGTGAATTTAAAGGAACACCAGCATTTCACTGTTTACAATATACATTTGCTTTTCCTCACGCACATAAGCACACTCGTGCACATTTACACATGGCCTCCTCCAGTAGGCTGGCAGGCATTAGTCAGAGAGACGGAAGCTGCCCAATCTGGATCCAAACATGACTCAAAGAATGGTGTGGGGGGGCCTTCAGGACCCCTCTTATCCCCCAAAGTCCTTTCTCCTATGATTGACAAGACTGGCAGCTACTCTTGCTTTGTTTCCTTACACGTATGGTAGCTGGTAGCCGGGATTGGTGTGTTTGTGTGGGGTTACCATGTACTCAACTTCCTTTATTTTGTTCAGGTGACATTTTTCCTTTGTTTCTTTACCAAATTATTTCTTTCTTTATCTACCACCCCGAAGAATCTTTCAGACAACATTTCTGGCTTTCCTCCCCCCTCTCTGCTTACATGGCTGCTTCATCTTTAGTTATGGCAACTTCAGTCCAGCCTCATAGGGTTTAGGAGGAGGTGCCTGGCCCATGGCAGACCCCCCCCCCATGCAACCCCCCCGCCCCCCGCTGAAAAGAACCAATGGAAGCTAATAGGGTGGGCAGAAAAGTGGATATCTTGGGAGATGCTTGGCTTCTGAACATGTCCTCCTGCTGACCCTCCTTACTTGCCAAAGGCGATGCAAGGAAGGCTGGGAGGAGGGACGTCTGTCTCCCGTTCCAGCTGTGTCTTCAAATCCCTCCAACTGAAAGTCACTTGCTGCAGCCTTTCCGGATCAGGCCTTCCTCTCCAAGCCTTCGTAGGAGGAGGACATCCCTGTCTCTGGTTTCAGGATGCTTGGGGGGCACCTGAAACTGCAAGCCTTCAATGGGAAGCCAAGGAGAAATCCCAAATCTTTGTCAAAGCAGCCACTCGGTCTCAAGGACCTCAAGGACTCCTGAGCCTCCAGTGTGAACCAGATGAGGCCTCAAACTCCCACAGGCTCTTCTAGTCCAAACGATGCCACCCCAGACAAGTGGCTGTCCAGACTCTTCTTGAAAGCCTCCAACTTCTGAAAGCAAGCCCTTCCACTGGTTGCTCATTCTCCCTGTGAGGAAATTTCTCCTAGGTTAGATCTCTCCTTAATCATTTCCCATCTGTTGTTTCTTGTCTTGCCTTCTGGGGCTTTGGAGAATAAGTTGAACCGCCCCCCCTTCTTTGTGGCAACCCCTCAGATATTGGATGACTGCTATCATGTCATCCCTGGTCCTTCTTTTCACTAGACTAGGCATATCCAATTCCTGCAACTTCCTGCAAATTCCTTCATATGTTTTATCCTCCAGCCCCCAATCATCTTTCTGGCTCTTCTCTGCACTCTTTCCAGAGTCTCTACAACCTGCTGACCAAAACTGGATGCCATATTCCAAGTGTGGTCTTAACTAAGGCATTATAAAGCGGTACTAATATTTCACATTATTTTAATTGTTTCCTACTGTTGGATCGTGGTGGCTTTTTTGGCTGTTGCCACACACTGCAGACCCGTATTTAAGCCATTGTGCACTAGGACTTCAAGATCCTTCTCACAGTTACTGCTATTGAACCAAGGTTCTCTATGCTTGGCTAATCCAGGTTTATCAGTCTGGGATAACTCCTCTTTGATGTCTGTCTCAGGTGACCACTGTGTGGGAGAGGTATGAAAATGCCACAGGAGGAGCTTTCACGGCCATCACCTCGGATCCCCAGCTCCCAGCTGCTGTGGTGGGGGAGATTGTGATGACCATGTTGCTGGTGATGGCTGTCTGCATGGGGGCCATTAATGAAAAGACCAAGAGTCCACTGGCACCTTTCTGCATTGGCCTCACTGTCACTGTGGACATCCTGGCTGGGTGAGTTGGACAGAAGGCTGGCAGGTTCTCCCAGGTCCTTCTGTTAATGAAACCTAGGATTGTGTTTGCTTTTCTGGCTGCTGCCACACACCTCAGACCCATCTTTAAGCCATTGTCCATTAGGACTTCAAAATAAAGGAGATAAAGGTCCTCCTGAGCTTGCCTGGGCATCCTCCTAAATCAGGGAAGGAGCCATGTGCAGCCTGAATTTGAGGAGAATGCCCTCATTATCCACTCTAGCTGGTCAGCTCCCTTGTGAGGCTGGAGAGCTTCGCTGCCTGCCTGGGGGACAGAGCCCTGTGGCTGGGGTGGGGGGTGGGGGGCTTTAGGGTGGGCAGGAACAGCTCTTCTGGCCTGTCCCTGGCACTCTGCTAGTAGGATCCGGGGTGCCCGCCTGGGCCCTTCATGCCCAGAAGCATTTGGACCCAGCCTCTCTCCATCACCGATGAGGTTGTGTCTGGAGGAGGTTTCCATCCCGTCCCACCAGCAACCAGGGAGAAGAACTCCCACACCCACCAAGGGATCAAAACCAGAAAGGGAGGCGATTGTGCTCCCAGCTGTTGAGATCAGCAAGCGGAGGGAAGAGGGCGGCCCCCAAGGAGGGCTCCTGGAATCCCGGGGGGGCTCCCTTCCTGATGTTGGCTCAGCTGACAGACAGGGCCCGTTACCCAGCGGCATCTCCCCTCACAGATCCACGTCAGGGTGTCCCATCCCCCCACGGGAATCGTTGGTGCCTCACAGCCAAATCCCTGGGGAGGTCTGCTTCTTTAGAACAACAGAAGAATAACGTGACCGTTGCCCACTCACTGGCCTGGGGGGTTCCTGTTTCTAGTCACCCAGGAAATACGCCTCGCCCTGCGGTGCTTGCCTGCTGCTTGTCCAAAGACCAACTGAAGCACTGCTCTTCCGAAGACCTTCGCTTGTCCCTGGAGGCTCACGTCCTGGTCACGTCAAGGCCACTTCGGTGCACACCGAGGAGACTTGAATGCGTTGGCCTCTTGGCCCAACCGGAAGTGGGCCTGCCTTGGCCAATGTCTCAGGGTGGGGGCATTCCTTGCCAATGGACTCTGCGCTCCGTGAGGAGGAAAGGGGCAGCAAAGGAGACCGTCTCTAGGGGAATGCTTTGCCCGGGATGGAAACCTTCCTGGCGGTTTCATTCTGTCCATCTTCCTTCTCTGTCCAGGGGAGCCGTTTCTGGAGCCTGCATGAATCCGGCCAGAGCGTTTGGCCCTGCAGTGGCTGCCAACCACTGGGATTACCACTGGGTGTACTGGGTGGGCCCCATGGGGGCTGCGCTTCTGGTGGGCGCATTGATAAGGTACGTGGCGGGTTTTCAAGGCCTTCCAGAATGCCCTGGGGGTGGGGAGCTGTATGGGGTCTGGCAGGAGAGGGCGGGGGAGAGAATCTCATTCCAGAGGGCAAATGCCACTTCATGGGGTTGCCCGGCTGGGCTAGTTGGATTCTGGAGCAGGACTCAGGATTAATTGAGTCTATCAGCAGGGATTCCTCAGTAACAGTCAATGGAACATCTCAGATTGTCTGAGATGTTAAAGGATCCCTGGTTCATTGAGAACAAGAACGGAGAAGTGTTTGGCATGCAGGAAGTCCTGCATTTAGTCTTGGCAGGTCCAGGCCAGGCCAGGAAAGACTCACCCTCCCGAGAACCGAGTCTGTGACGTCTTGGCCCACGTCAGGAATGGACAAAGCCTCAAAGCTGCCTATTGCCTCTCATCTGCTTCTGTTTGGTCTCCCAAAGTTTTCAGAGTGACAGAAAGCATAAATAAGGCAACATATGGGAAGGAATCACGTTTGTTTGTAATTAATCTAATTGCAAGTATGCTTAGAAGTAACATGTGGTTTTGCTCGACTGTGCCAACTTTTCTGAATCTGGCTCCTCTGTGCCATTCAAAAGCCAGAGGCGACCCTGTGCCCACTAGGGTCGGGGGGACCTTCTCCTTACACCCCCAGGACTCCTTCCCTGTCATTCCATCATTTCCCTTGTGCTAGTGAGATACGGGGAGAGGCAGTGTCTGACTTGGGTAACATCAACTAACCAGGCAGGCTAGGTCTATGCAGCAGGCTTAGCCATAAATGATATTCAATCATGGGTAATGTGAACTAGGTTCAGCATGGAAAAGGCAGAATCACAGAGCTGGAAGGGACCTTGGAGATCTTCTAGTCCAACCTTCTGCTCAAGCAGGAGACTCTGCACCATTTCAAACAGCTGTCCAGTCTCTTCTTAAAAGCCTCCACTGTTGGAGCACCTATAAGTTCTGGAGGCCAGCCTTTCTACTGATGAATTGTTCTCCCTGTCAAGAAATTCCTCCTCAATTCCAGGTTGCTTCTCTCCTTGATGGATTTTCATCCGTTGCTTCTTGTCCTGCCTAGAAGGGCTTTGGAGAATAGTTTGACTCCCTCTTCTCTGGGGCAGCCCCTGAGATATTGGAACACTGCACAGTCATGTGAGCATCCCAAAGAACTTTCATCAGAAGTGGATCTCGGGGCGGGGGGCACCATGAGGTTCATTCCTGGGTTCTGCATTATTAAAGATGAGGAGGGGGCAGGAAAATGGGTGGGTTAGTTAATACACTGCCCCCAAGTTCCACAAAATGCCGTTCAGAGGGGTGTCATCAACAAAACTCAAGATAGCAAGAGCTTTGAATGCACCGCTGTGGACGCCATCTTGACTTTTTTGATCATATGCTGCAGACACCAGCAATCCTTTAAGAATATGCCTCTTTTAATGAAAAGAAGGACTGGGGGTGACATAATGGCAGTGCCCAAACATCTAACGGTCTGCCACAAAAAAGAGGGTGAGGGTCGTCCTTTTCCCCTGAAGGCAGGACAAGAAGCAATGGATGGAAACTAATCAAGGAGAGAAGCAATCTAGAACTAAGGAGGAATTTCCTGACAGAACAATTAACCAATGGAACGACTCTTCTCCAGAAATTGTGGGTGCTCCAACACTGGAGGTGTTTAAGAGGAGACTGGGCAACCAGAATGTCCAGAGCAGAGGTTGGAGTAGAAGTCCTCCCCACTCCCTGCCAAGTCTGTCACCTCAGTGTGGAAGGGCTGCAGAGAAGGGCAGCAAAGAGAAAGGTGCAGCCTCAGGAAGGTGCACCCAGAAGCTCTCAAGTGGAGCTGCTGCAGCTCCTTTCAAGTGCTCCAGAGCAGGCCGCTCCTCTTTCCGGAATGCAGGGTAGGATGTTATGGAGGTCAGCTGGCCAGCCCAGCAACAGGGGGGCGGAGTAGTCCTTTGGGTTGGACTCCAAGACAGCATCAACCCTTTCATACAGGGGTCCCCAAACTTGGCAACTTTAAGACTTGTGGACTTCAACTCCCAGAATTCCCCAGCCAGCTTTGTTTGGGGACCTCTGCCTTAAGAGGTGCCTGTGGGGAGTGTGAAAGAGGAAGCCCGCACGGGGCCCAGCGTGGGGGTCCAACCTTGGCAACTTTAAGGCTGGTGAAGTTCCACTCCCAGAATTTCCCGGCCAGGTTGTTTTAACGTTGCCAAAGTTGGACACCCGGGTTGTACAGGCTGCCCCTCCGCAGAGGAAAAGCAGGAGCCGGAAAGTCCCCGGGCTGGCTGCCTCTTGCAGGGCGAGCGGTTCTCACGGCTCCCCTCCTTTCTCCCTCCAGGGTCCTGCTCGGGGACAGCAAGACGCGCTTCTTCCTCAAGTGAGCCGCCGCCCGGCGAGGAGCATCGCCTCCCGTTCCCCGCGCCACCCCAGGCAGCCGCAGCCAACCTCGCCCGGGGAAGAGACTTTAGGCGATTCTGCCTCCCCCCCCCCGTTTTTTTTTATTTTTATTTTTTGGGGAAACGACGCCTCGCAGAAGAAAGACAAAGGCGGAGAAGCGGCGGCCCCGGCAGATCCCCGGACCGAAGCGGGGAAGCCGGAGGAGCGTCGGGCGAAGCGGCCCTGGGCAGCCCCGGCTCGAGCAGCGGCCCAGCAACCCAGGCCCCGGCGATTGCAAGGCGCTCGCCCGGCACTTCGGCAGCTCCGTCCGGAGCGAGGAAGCCGCTCCTCGGCTCGGCATCTCCGGCGGCGGCGCTCCGCGGAGGGACCCGCCGGCCACGCCGCCTCCGCGCAGCCCCGCAGCCATCGGGCGGCAAACGGGCGCAGCGGCGCTTCGTCCCACCGGATTCCCGCCTGCGAAGGGGTCGCAGCTCTCTCGCGGCGATGCTGGGGGCTCTCGGGGCTTCCCAGGCCCAGAGAGCGGCTATTCCCACCCTCCCCATCGCCCCGAAGCCCCTCCCCGCATCGCCCTCCGCCCTCGAGCGGGGCTGCCCGCGGGCGCCCCCCCAGCCCTCCCGCCGGTTTTGGCCGCAAATGTCCCCCCCCCAACCCCCGCGCTGGTCCCGGGCCTTGCAGGGACATCCTCCCAGCCGCTTTCCGGGCCCGCAACCTCCCCTCCCCCAATTCCCGGGACGGGGCGCCCCGAGAGCGACCTTTCCCCGTCGTCCTTCAAGACGCGCTGCGCGGCGGGGTGGGCTTCGACGGGCAATCGCCCTGCCCGAAGGAGCCCGCGTTGCGCTGCGCTGCGCTGCGCTTTGCCCTGCGGGATCGGGAGAAGCCTGGATCCCGATTGGCACGCAGCCCTTGGGGGGAGGGGTCTTTCGGTTTGCGGCCGGTTAAGGGGGCTGCCCTGCTGGGTCTTTTCCTGCCCGCCTCGCCCAGCACTGAGCCCGGCGGCTGCTTTGCAAGACCTGAACGCGGAACTGAAGACAGACAACGGGGACGCGTTGCACTGGTGTTGCACCCCAGCAAGGGAGGGACTGTGGAAGTTGGGGTGAAATGTTGAGCCTCAAATTAGCTCTGCCTGCGGCGGATGGGCGTCCACGTTGACTATACCCCTATTACACCAGCACCGTTCCCTTAAGCATTGTCTATTAAATTAGCCACGGATTGTTGGGTTAAGCCATGGTGTTGTTTGTTTGGTTTGGGGGGTCAGAGTAATGCCTGGCTCCCCGCATTGTTCAACCCACCCCCTCCCAAGCAGATCTACAGCTGTGCCACACTTCTGGAAAGGCTAGCACAGCCTACCCTGCGCCTGGGCTCACAAACCACTATAATAAAGTGAAAACCAAGAAAAGTACACCAATGTAGTGGCCCTTAATGTGAGATGCTTATTTTGATGTTTTTCCTGGAGTAGGAACACAGCTGTGGGGAGGCTGGTTAAGCGCAGTTTGTGACTTAGCATGTCTGATCAGCTCCAAGCCACTTGGAGGTTGCTGACCTCTGGATGAAGGAGGACATTTTCCAGGTTGCTTGGCTGGGAATTTGTCTCACACCCCCCTCCCCACCCAACGGCTGTGATGGGAGCCCTTTGTGAGGGTGGGGGCAGCAGATAAGCTGGAACATCTCAGCGCTCCCAAGCCACAGATCCCCGCAGCAGTGATGGATGGGAGCCCTTCAGTTGCGAGAACAGAAAAGCTCTTCACATCTGCAGTTGGAGGAACTTACTGAGCTGCAGCTAATTCTTTGTTCTCTGAGCTTTTTCAATCAATAAAGCAGGAGGAGCCCTCTTAGTAATGCAATAAGAATAAGGTGACCCTTATCTTAAGCCCTGCCCTTATCTATAACATGGCATATAAATCACCGAAGGGTAAATGTTGTTGAGCTGCCGTGTGAGGCAATAAACTTTTATCTCCGCTGGCTAATACAGATGTTTCTTTAATAAGCCATGCTAAAATATCGGTTGCTGGATTGAGGTTGCTGGTGCGTAGCTGCAGAAGACAACCTGCTTGCATGGGGGGCAGTGGTGGTGGTGGCTTTTACTGTTGTTCCTTGCAGCGAATGGCAGGCAAGGGAGGAAGCAGAACTTGTAGGAAGGGGAGGGGGCTGCTGATGGAAAGAAGGTTCTGGAATGGAGGGGAGAGGCCCTTTGTTATTTTGACTAGAGTGGAGGACTAGAGCTACTTCCAAGAGGCCTCTAAGAATAATGGATGAATAAAAAAAGGGCTTACCAGCTCACAGTTTCGTAAACAGATGCTTCATTTTTATGTTCTGGAAGTATTCGTCAAGAATTCTTTGCTGCTGAACAGCATGAAGGATAACAAAAAAAAAAAAAGGGGGGGGGGCTATTCATCTGCAAAAACTCGCAGTGGTGTTTTATGGGGGGGCCCGGCCGGGGAGGGGTGAAGGAGGGGGAAAAGGGGGGGGGGGGGGGGGAAAGAGAGAGAATCCTTAGCAGGCAGAAGAAGGCGCTCATTGATTCGTTCACACATGGTGCTCAGCTGTGATGGAACCGAGGAGTGATTGCTAACAGCATTGGGTTGCGTCAACTGACACACACTGTGGTTTGTAAAAGAAGATTGATGGCTTTCAGTAGAAGTCAAACCTCACTCAGTGCGGTTTGTCCACCAAATCACGATAAAACAAATCGTGCCTTTAATGCAGGTGATTTATTTGTAAAGGTTTGTTGAGGGAGAGAAAGCCAGAGTTTTGTAATCATTGGCTGTCTGCAGAATACGGGGTCCCCAAACTTGGCAACTTTAAGACTTGGGGACTTCAACT